TTCATTCCATCCACGCATCCATCCATCCATCCATCCATCCATCCATCCATCCATCCATCCATCCAACCATCCATCCAATTCCATTTCATTCCATCCATCCACTCAACCACCCACCCACCCATCCACCCATCCATCCAATTTCATTCCATCCACGCATCCATCCATCCATCCATCCATCCATCCATCCATCCATCCATCCATCCAACCATCCATCCAATTCCATTTCATTCCATCCATCCACTCACCCATCCATCCATCCATCCATCTATCCATCCACCAACCCATCCATCCCATTCCATTTCATTTCATCCATCCATCCATCCATCCACCCATCCACCCATCCATCTCATTCCATTTCATTTCATCCATCCATCCATCYATCCATCTGGTCAGGTCACTGAGTCAACAGATTCAGAACAGAAATCCAGATGTCCCTCTCCTCAACACTATAAAGCTCCTCCTGGGAGATCCCAGGGTGTTTCCAGGCCGTAGAAGAAATTTAGTCCTTTCAGCAAGCTCTGGGATTGCCTCAGAGTTAAGCAGGCAGTATGGTCGCTCGGCAGCCGACCGGTCGACGCGCCGTCACGTGGTTGTTCGGTGTTCGTTTTCACACACACCTTTCATAGCTCCTGAGACACCCCAAACCGAGCTCCTGGGAAACCCCTCCCTCTGCAACATATGTCACCTCATGGGATTTCTTTCCAGGGGAGTCCAATGCGGGAAAAAAAAAAAAGGTCAGAGACTCATCAGCTGACGTCATCTATCCACAGACTGGTCCTGGATAAGCTCCAAAGTTTTTATCAGTCAGATTCCACCGKGAAAAACATCTGTTTTATCCTCTTTTATGAGGTTTTGGCCATTTGACTACTTTTATAAATCGCTGCTTCCTGGTAACAGTCAGCTCTGGAAGCAAGTCGCTTTTTTTTTTCTTCTTTCTTTTCTTGAAGTGAGTGGTTGAAGCAAAATGCAGCATCTGAGCGCTTTCAGCACAAACAAACACTCCCACGAACTTCTGACCAATCACACCATACAGTTCGTATGTGTTCTTATGTGGAGGGGGGTGAAAAGTTCGACCTGCAGGTTGCTACAAGAAGTGCCAAAATGTCGACAATGCAAACAGAATGACACAATTTTCAGCATGAAACTGCGACAGTTTGGCTGCAGCATGYTGTAGCCTTTATCCTAATTCGATGCTTGAACCACCTCCATTGACTCTTTTTGATGTGGGGAAGCAGAGGGTCTACACCGAGCAACTCCCAAATAACAAAGCTCCTCTCTAAGGCTGAGTCTGGCTACACTACAGAAGAAGTTTATTTTAGCCTCTTGTATCAAAGATCTTGTTCTTTCGTTCGTAATCATAATTCATGACCTTAGTCAAAAGTTGAAACATAGATGGACCACTAAATCGAACGCTTTGCCTTTTGGTTTAGCTCCTTCTTCACTATGAGACAGTAGCAACACCTTCGTTACAGAGACAGAGGCCCAATTCTGTCAACCATCTCCCACTCAATCCCA